CAGCCCGTGATGCGCTTCTAAGAAGGGAACCCATGCAGGAAAACCAATCCCGAAGTCCTGTCTCCTTGCTGCACAAACTTGCATCTCCAGCTGCTGGCACATCATGCGTGAAGCTAGAAGTGCCTCTTCCGTACATAACACCAGAGCCTATGACTCTTACATGCGCCCAGGCCGCAATTTCTATGAGCCACACTCAAACTGTCGAGCCTCAACCCAGCCACAACGTAGAAGCAACCCAAACTTAATAAAATCTGCTGCCCAACAGCCGATTCAAACTCCCGGCGCCCTACTCGCCCTCGAAGCCTACAGAACCCATTCCACACTCTGAAGCCCTGGGATCAAGTCGCAATGAGGCGGCCGTTGACCTCGCGGGCTTCGAGCCTCGAGCCCTGGAAGCGTCTTTCAAGATCGCAGGTTTCGATCTGGGTCTTTCTTGGGGGGATTTGTGTTTATGCTTATATACGCACATTATGTTGCGTGCGTATGTATGCATGCCTGTATGCCTGCCTGCAAACGTATCTGTCTGTCCGCCTCTACTTATCTGTCTGTGTAGCTGTTTGTCTATTTGCCCTGTCTGTCTATCTATGCATCCATCCATCCATCTTTCTACATATATATATATATATACATATATATATATATGCATATACACGCGCACACACACGCACACGCACACACACACACACATAAAAACAAAAAAAAAAACACCCACACGCCCGTGCACATAAGAGGGCTTAATCTAGGAGCCGGCTGTCTGGGCCAAGCCGCCTAGCAAAGCGTGCGTACGTCCCGGTACAAGTCCTCCCCGACACCCTCCGAGCGCAAGGGCCTCAAAGCCCAAATACGAGATAAAAGGAAAACTAACCCCCAAAACCCCTGAAGCCCAAATCCCTAAACGTTGAAGCCCTTCGGGCCTTGGGGACCTTCAGGTAGGGCCCCTGGTCCGCGAGGTCCTCGGCAATCGACAGGCGAGGCCAGAAGGACTCCTCGTAGACTTGGTGCATCACCTGGGGCCCTAATTCTCTTTCCTGGGTACAGAAGAGATATAGATAGAGATACAGATGCAGGTATGGATAGAGAGGATTACAGAAGTAGATTTAGGTTCAGATATGTAGACATAGGCGCCTGGGCCTACCATAGGGGCTGTAAGGGGTTTGGGTGGTCTGTTGGGTTTAATACCGGGTCTGACGTGCTTGACTGCGGGTGTTCGGGCGAGTTGGGCGCCTCTACTCCCTGCGAAATCATAACCCTGGCCTGGCGTGAGGCTCCCTTTCGTGGCTCATGGAACTTGGGGCTTGGGGCTTCAGGGTTGTTGGGGGTTAGGGCTTGGAAGTTTAGAATTTTGATTGGGACCGGGTTGGCCTGGAACCTTCGTCCATCCATGCAGAATCGATCTAAATCTGGAGAGGGCCCGAGCATGTGCAGCACCCCACTCACACTCTCCAACGCAAACATCCAAAGATAGCTGGGCCACCACTGCTAGTGAGCCCACGACAGTGAGGACGCAAAGGCAAGTCCTCCAGAGGGCGGACGTGAAAATACTGCTCAGCAGCCTCCGAAACTTGCTCTTGGCCTCTTCGCTGCCGGGGTGCACTGCCAGAGAGAGAGGCGCACAAATTACGCGTTCCGCACAGGGGCTGGGAGGTTGACTTTGGCGAAATGCGGCAGTGCAGCTCACAGCATCTCTCTGGGGCTGTTTGTCTGTCAGTCCCACAGTCCAAACGTCTGTCTTCTTCCACAGGGCATCGGGAGTGTCTGAAGCCCCCTAGCCACTAGGGCCCCCCAGATTTGGGGGCTGATTGAAGGGACCGTGAAAAGTACACGTACCGGTATATGGCCCACGTACTCCAAGCTGACTCGACATACCTGGCATGCCTACAAGTGACGAAGTCCACGTGGGTCCCCCGGTACTGCTTACGTTGTAACTTGGCAAGGCAGCAGTTAAACAACCCGATGAGCTAAGCACCGGGCCAATATAGAAAAACAGACTTCATCCCGCAGAGAACTTTGTGCACTGGTTCGAAAGATTACTTGGTTGGGGTTTTCCCGTCCAGCGGTAGGAAAGCTAAGTAGCGGGCCCGAGAACACAAACTCCTTAGGGAAAGAGCGACCTAACAATCACGATTCAGCTAGGGCTGCACCTCTCATCACTTTTTAATGTCATGCCGCGCTGCACCTGTATGTTTGAAAGGCTGGTAGAAGAAATGGAAAAACAGCTCGAAAGATTGGCGTTCTTGTGGGCTGGCATATCTCGAAAAGCTGGGTCCCTGTCTGTCTGTCTGTCTGTCTGTCTGTCTGTCTCTGTCTGTCTGTCTTTCTTTCGCCAGGGCTAGGGGCAAGAGGGGCAAGCCCCCCTCACCCTGTCTGTCTCTGTCTGTCTTTCTGTTTCTTTCTGTCTCTCTTTCTTTCGCCAGGGCTAGGGACAAGAGGGTTGCCCCCCTTGCGGTAGCGCGACCGACTGTTGCGGAGCGGTTGGTTGAATTCGCACTCACCACTAAGGGCATGACCTCTGTGTTGTGGCTCACTCAAGCCCAAAGGAAAATGCAACCAGAAAGAAGGACTGCCGCAAGTACGATACGATCAACAGCAGAAGTTATGCATTGGGGATGTTCCCCTGTGTGGCGGTATGCAAGCAAAGAGTCACTGGTCACTGTAGCGCTCAACCCGAGGGGGCGCACCCCTATCCGAAGAAGCTCATGGAACGACTTGTGGTATGGGAAAGAAACAGAACAAAACTTCAAGTAGGCATGAAAGTCGAGGCGGTGTGACTGTCAGCTGATTTGGTAGCCCTCTTCAAAAGAACTGCCGCCGTCTCTCTTTCTCTCTCTCTCTCTCTCTCTCTGTCCCTCTCTCGCTCCTGCTTCCCTGTGGAGATAGAGCATTTGAAAGCATAACATCTTATCAGTTCACCTGGATAAGGTCCTATCACAGCTATGTGTGTATGAGTGCTAAACAGATAAACACAGACAGTTACGCACCAGATATGAATATGGACATAGTCTCATGAGTGCCTTCTTGATCCTTGAGGCCAACATACCAGAAGAGGCAATAGCACATAGAATCTGATGACATGGTTACCAAGTAAAACCACATGTGAGGCATCTGGAATGTATTCGGACTCGTGTCATTGGAAGCCAAGTTAAACCCTCAAGGTCCTCTTAAGCCTTGGCCCGCGGGGCGGCCGGGAGCTGGTGGGCGCTTTTTCTGCGAGCCGGGGGACGGCTCTCGTCTCCCAGCCCTGGGGCAAATAGCTCGGGTGCTGCTCCAGGAAGCCTTGAACCTGCAATTTTGCAATCAAGGCTCAGGCTCAGGCAAACTCTGATCCAACGCGAGAGACAAGGCACGAGGCACTATGCTGGCAAACCCCATCTCGCCTCCCTTCGGATTCCCCAGTTCGTGTAGACCGTCCGCTGCTGCAGCGCGGTGTTGGTCAAGGGGTCCCGCGGCGGCACGCAGGTCTCCCAGTACTGCTCCAGCGCATGACGTTCGTAGGTGTTGCCACTCTCAGGAACGAAGACCGGGTCACGGTACCTGGGAAAATCTCACTGTCAATGTCGGATTCTTCTGAATCTAGACTCTACGTAACTATACAGCATGAGATGTTGCTTTCCATCGTCACCCGGGGGCATCGTCTGCGTGATCGGGCAAACCAGCACTGAAGGTTCAACGATCTCAGGCTTGGTCGGCCAAGCCTTTACAATCGGTTCCGGCACTTCGTCTCGCACATCGCTTCCCATGGCTGAGGTGGGTCGGCCACTGCAGCACTAACGGCTTAGGGATTCCGACAGGCCTGCGTTCTTGTGGAGGGTGTCTGCTGACTTGTGCGCCTATCTGCCGAAGAATAGCTGTCTTTCGGCACGCATCGCCTTGACTTGGGCATGGGTGGTGACATGTTCGTCTCGTCTGAGCCACAACGCTGATATCGCTGGGTTACACTACGACCTATCGGCTCCCCTGCTCTCGCTCGTTGGCAACACCTGCAAAGCATGCCGTCACCATCAAAACAGCCGGAAGAACCAACCAGAGTTTGTACCAGGTGTCGCAACTTTGATTCCACTCAAGACTCCCACCTAAAAACTCTCCACATCCACCCTGGGAGCATGGCACGCAGCACGTTCACCTCCTGCTCCATGGTGCGGTATGCTGGAGTGTCCTGCACTTGTTTCTTCGCTGAGGACAGCGAAGCATGTTCCGTTTCAGCGCACATCGGCACACGGTACTAGTGCACATCCGCAAAGGTAGTTGCAGCATCCATTCCTTGCAGGGGGTCCAGGTCTACAGCTCTGAAAGATATCCTTGCTTGCCATGTTAAAACACATCCTCTATATCTATCTCCATTCATTGAAGCTTGTCCAGGGGGTAGGCTGGTGGATTGGTGGACAGAAAGGTTTCTGCTTGCATTGCTTCATACATGCAGTGTGGGGTGAAACTCAGCACGCATGTGCACACAAATGTGAAAGAGCTGCAAGCGTGCTGATTGATCTCTCGACTTAGACACGGCTGCCTTGTTAGGCAGTAAGTAGGGCTTAGAATGTGTCTGCAACCTTCCTGCACGAAGCTCCCAACCTCTTGCAACGAGATATCAGATCAGCATGCGATATCCGCACACTGCGTTCGGAGATGTGTGAATAGCCGTAGTAGTAGTAGTAGTAGTAGTAGTAGTAGTAGCAGTAGTCGTCGTCGTCGTCGTAGTAGTAGCAGCAGCAGTAGTCGTAGTAGCAGCAGCAGCAGCAGCAGCAGGGGTGGTAGTGGCGGTGGTGGTGGTGGTGGTGGAAGTGGTGGTGGAAGTGGTGGTGGAAGTGGTGGTGGAAGTGGTGGTGGAAGTGGTGGTGGAAGTGGTGGTGGAAGTGGTGGTGGAAGTGGTGGTGCAAGTGGTGGTGGTGGTGGTGGTGGTGGTGGTGGTGGTGGTGGTGGTGGTTGCGGTGGTGGTGGTGGTGGAAGTGGTGGCGGTGGTGGTGGTGGTGGTGGTGGTTGCAGTGGTAGTGGTAGTGGCAGTGGCAGTGGTAGTGGCAGTGGCAGTGGTAGTGGTAGTGGTAATGGTAATGGTAATGGTAGTGGTAGGGGTGGTAGTACTACTGTTGATCAACCGTCGTAACAGTAGTCGTCGTCGTCGTTGTCGCAGTCGTCGTAGTAATAGTAGTAGTCGTCGTCGTAGTAGTACTAATGGTAGGGGTAGTGGTAGTAGTAGTAGTAGTAGTAGTAGTAGTAGTCGTAGTAGTAGTAGTAGTAGTAGTAGAAGTATAGTCGTCGTCGTCGTAGTGGTAGTAGTAGTAGTCGTCGTCGTCGTCGTCGTACTAGTAGGAGTAGTAGTTGTTGTAGTAGCAGCAGTAGTAGTAGCAGTAGTAGTAGTAGTAGTAGTAGTAGCAGCAGGAATACTCGTAGCACCAGCAGTACGGTAATACAAGTAGGGGTTAGGGAGTAGGAGTAGTAGGAGGAGCAGCAGGAGGAGGAGGAGGAGAAGCTTTCAGTAGTCCTGGCCGGAAATAGAATTACAGCCAATGGCAGCGCCCCCGCCTTGACATTCGCTGCTTCTTCTGCCTCTATACAAATCCTGAGTGCAGGAACAGCATAAACCTTGACACATGCCCTGATGCAACCCGACTCCCTCTGCACATCCGGCTTGGGGTTTCCGATCGCCCTCTTCCCCTCTCCGCTTCTCTTCCTTCCTGGGGCAATTCTATCCCTGTTAGGTGAAGACATCTTTATCTATCTATGTATGTGCATGTATAGATGCATGCCATGGTTGTATGTGTAAACATGTGTATGTGTATGTAGGTACTGGTATATAACTCTATAGAAATATGTGTATATATATACATACACACATGGGTATTTATACACACACATGCGTACATACATACATACATACATAAATACATACATACATACATACATACATACGTACGTACATACATACATACATACATACATACATACTTACCCACCTACCTACATATATACGTACGTACGTACGTACGTACGTACGTACGTACGTACGTACGTACGTACGTACGTACGAACAGACATACATTGACAGGCGAGAGACTCAGCATCTAGGATGTTGCACAGACAGGTGCACGCATGCATCTGTGGGCATGTGCATACATGTACATGCATGCAGACATCCACTTTGGGTACATGTTTATGGGGAATCAACCTGCTATGTGCATGTGGGCGTGAAGTGTATGCAGGTACAAATGGAAATATATAAAGACACATGCACATGTATGCATATATATATATATACATCTGTAAGACATGTACATGTGTCTGTATATCATGTCTTATATGTATAAACACATACACACATGTATCTATACAAGTATGAAGACACACCATCTACATGCATCAACACCTATCCGCTACAGGCAGCAGATGTGACGGCAGTTGCAGCTGGCGATGCAAGTCGAATTGTCTGACGTTTCTGAAGTCATCACATTCACACCAAGTAAGAGGCTGCCCGCAGCTTGTACGGAATCATGAAGCTTTTTCATGGAGGTGAAAATCAAGTCGCAGACCTTGACATAGCCATAAACCCCGAAACCTGATCTCTGACTCCAGACAAGACCCTGAACAAATGCCACCATGTAGACAGATGCTGTCAACTACCTTGCATAATTAGAGCCCATTCAATCTAATTTGGATTTTGGATTGGATCATTATCAGCCGAGGATCTCCATGACCTTAACGGCATAGGCTTCCTTTGTTGGCCCGGTGCAGGGGTGAATGGCTTCGGGATGGTCATGTTTAGGAACGAAACGAATAACCAGAGCATTCATCTCGGAGCAAAGTATGTTCACCAACCATACACGTGTTTATAGATAGTTAGACAGACAGACAGACAAATGGATAGCTAGCGAGCTAGTAGCCAGCTAGATGGTAAGTAGATGGATAGCCAGATAGATAGATAGATAGATAGATAGATAGATAGATAGATAGACAGGTAGATAGATAGCCAGATAGATAACAAGATAAGATAAGATTGATAAATGGAATCGAAAGGTAGACAGACAGATAGATACCTAGAACAAAGCAGAACATTCGAGCAACCCTTTTGCAATGATGGCAGGGTTCCGGGCGGTGGGTCGCAGGATGTCGCGGGCAATGCATCGAGAGTAAGGGCTCAGGTAGGGGAAGAAGAAAGGCAACGTCAGTGTACTAAGAAAGACCAGTAATTGGAGCACCATCCATAGTACCAGCGGTAGCATGAGTATGTCCTTTATTGCTGTCAGCATTGTTGGACTGCCATTGTGATTGCTACAATGTGGATTGTGATCACTACTAGTGAGTTGCTGATGTTGTAGCTGATGTTTCGATCTTGCTTACTTCCTGCTGCCAGCATTGCTGCAAATGCTCAGGCTACCGCTATACCTATCAACGTTCTGATTAGAGAAGTGTTAGTATGTTAGGTACAGGAGCCGATTCTGCTACAACTGTCACCACAGTTTTTAGCAGCGGCCCCGCTGAAGTTCTGATGTGTTGTCTCGCTTGACAATTCTAGTTCTGTCATCTCTGCCACTATTACCACCGCAGAGCATAATACTTAGTTACTAACTTCCATCGCATACCAGTATGCGTCAGATTGATACGGTTTGCATTCTTTCTGCTATGAATCTTCTAAGACTACGAAGGTTGCTAGCTGCTAGCATCGTTACCAGTACTGCTGTCACCGTCACAGCCCGAATTCTCATTATCATCCGCATCATCATCGGCATCCCTACTACGCGAAATCGATGAGGGTTCTCATCTTGTCTTGCTCTCCCAAGACCATCAGCTAGGCTGAGTTCGCGGCCCCGGTAGAGGGCAGCACGGCTCGATGCACCTGCCAAGGGCGCGGACGAAACGAGTTGTCTGAGTCTGCCTGTCTCCGACAGCGACTGGGCGGAGAGGGGGCGGGCTTGGGACTCGGATTTTTCGTGTGTCTAACTTCATGGACAAGCCGAGTGTACGCATCCCCACTTCCTCAGTTGGACAGAACGTACCCACAGTTGGCCACACGCCTGCGCACAAAAAGATTTCCTACAGGCGGGGCTATTAGCGGCCAAAGCGACAACAGGGATATTCATGATCTTTCCGGGGATGTGGTCTCTTCGCTTTCGCTGGCCGATGTTGGACACACCTGTCGTGCTGGTGCCAACTTGGTTGTCTCAAAACCTGCACCTGTGCAAACTACGTAACTCTGGGAACGAACACGAAACAACACAGGAAAATAAATTGTGCCACACTCCAGTGAAACACCTCTCAGCTCTTGAGTAAAACTCGAAGCAACGAAGAGCTCCCTGATTCGACAGGCGGCTTCGGGACGAAAGGACGAATCTGAAAATCAGGTGCCCTCTTTTAGAGGTCCTGATAACCAGTATTTAGGGTCTATACATTTAGGGTCCCTTCTTAGCTTCCGACACTCCGAACGGACTGAAGATCCAAGATTTGCCAGCTTGCGATGCACGCTTTGTCCCGCAGCTCGGAAGCTGAAAGCTCATGCGAGGCGCTCTTGTGACGCCTCAAGCATCCCTGAAATCCTGAACCCTAAGCCCTGGTTTTAGAGCCTTGGAGACTGAGGATTCCAGTAGATGGAACGAGGAGAACACCTTCCTCTCCAACAACAGGTCTGGAAAACTACAATCTCGCTTCCTCCACAGCCGGAGGCAGATCAAGCGCGAAGGTTGGTTTGCTCGCGTCACACCCGACTTATGCATGCTTGAGTAGTAGAGCGGCTCTTGCATCTGCTTTCCGCATG